CTCCACTCTGGGCCTGTGGCCAGTAGCGAGCTGCCCCAGCCCAGAAAGAAGGAAAAAAATAAGTGCCCTCCCACTTCACCCTCCCTTCATGCAAACAAGCTTTCCCCTTGGGCATATTTGGAATTCTGGGCCGCCCTTTTCCATTGTCCTGTGGGTGCTTAGGTGTGGAGCTCAAAATCAAGGCTGGCCAGGCTTGGCCTGTGCTGTCTCTTGGTCGGGGGCTCCATATCGTCCTTGAAAACTGAACTGTGGAATTGAGATCCATCCTTCATCATAGTGTCCTCTTGAAAGCAATGGAGTCTCCTAGGATTAAGTGACTTCCTGTTAAATATTCTGGAGGAAAAAGAGGAAGAAAACATTGTGCAAAAGGGAACGAAATCTTTGACCTCTGCCAGCAAATCCTGTATCCACCTGCTGTGGACTCATGAAAGAGAAAGTCAGAAGCAGGCACAGCCCAGAGGAGTAACTGGCCTATAAAGGCTGTCCTGTTGCTGATCCTCATGGAGCCCAACTTTCCCACTTCCCCCAGTGGTTTATTGGGCTTTCCCTCCACCACCACCCCTTCCAGGGTGATGAAATCAGAGCTGCAATTTCACTGGGGGTCATTGGCAGTCCTGGCTGAGGTTAGAATGACTAGAGAGAAGGCAGAAAAGACTTCCCTTCCCTTTCCTGCCAGATGGGCAAATAGCCTGCACTCAGAGATCTCTTTTTCTCTATCATTTCCCAAAGGCTGGAGAGGGATGAAGGAGGAGAAAATCTAGGGGTAAAATGCCCTTCTGATTGAATGGGGACCCAACCGTCAGTTTGGCAGCCCAGGAGTTGATGTGAACCGGCGGGGGGAGCGCTTGGAGATCCTGCTGCTCAGGCTAGGGTGAGAAGGGCGTCTGTCCTCTTCCTGCCTTCTCCTCCTGCCCCCTCCCACACCACGCCGGCCCCCTTTCACCTCCCCCTCCTTCTGTTTGTGGAGCTTTTCCAGGCTGTGCCGGCAAGCCGGGAGAGCGAGCTAGAGAAAGAGATCTGTGAGGGGGCGTTTGGGGCCGCGTGTCCGTGCACATCTTCTTCTCCTGCTCATCTCGCCATCTCGCCAGGGAAGTTAAGTGTTGGGAAGGAGGGCGGTGGGAGGATGGAGCTAGCCAGAGTACAAGGAGTGTTGGGGGAAGGGTCAGGAATCGGGAAGTCGGAATGCCGCTGCTGGGGTGTCTTCGAGAATTCACTGGAAGCCAGGAACTCCAGTATCCCTGCCCTAAAAGGGGCTCTTGTGCCCCATCTGGATGCGACCACACATGCAATGGCCGAAAAGGGCCAGCAACATTTTTTTTCCCTCTGTAAGGGGCTCTGGAATATATGGCTGCAGAAACAAAGTGGAACCGCATGGGATAGCTGGAAAAGCGATGTGTAGAAGTCCGTGGTCTGGCCAGGGGAGCCACGTGGAGGGGTCCTTTGCTTCCGGCCCCAAGCCACCTGGATCCCGCCCAGCCCCGGAGTTCAGACCGAGTTCTGGAAAACCAGCTGAATGGGAGAGAAGCCCAATTAACCTTGCTTCCAGGGCAAAATGAGAATCAGGCCTTGGGATAGTTTCCTTTTCTCTCCAATTGCTCCGGCCAGGCCAGGCTCTACACCATGCCTGGACCAGAATTCTTCAAGTTAGGGTGTGGTATGGGCATCTTGCTCCACATTCTCCACAAGAAGTGGAGTGGAAAGAAGATGGGCCAACTCCTTAATCTCAAGGATAGAAGTGATTCAGAGGTCTGTAAGATCCTACTTAGTAGCTAGCCTCCCACAGAGATGAATTCCCGTGACAAAGGGCTCACTCTGGAGAGGCAATCTCAGAGAATTCCAGTAAAAGAATTCCTACAAAGTCTTTGGGACCATCTCCTGACAGGAGAATCATCATGAGAGGACTTCAGGAAGGGCCATATGCTGTGCTGCTTTTGGAGGAGCCTCCCTTTGCAACCAGGAGACATACTGGACAAGAATCAGCACCTCTGGAGCGGACAGCTCCAAGAGCTCCTCTTAGCCCACGGCTGCCTGGTGACTGCAACAGACTAAACAGTTGAGGATGAATATTAAGGCAGCCACTGAATTCAAGTTCAGCATAATCTGATTCACCCTTTGGCTTTAGGACTTCCTACTCACTACCTTTCTCTATCCTGTGAGGAAGATCTCACTTGGAAATCCAGGATCTAATCCTGATGTCTGATTTCAGTCCAACGATACTACACGTGCCTCATTTCAGCCCTAAAATAAATGAGAGTATTTTAGGAAAAGCAAGTAGCATCAGGGACTCCCAGCTGGGGGACTCCTAAGTGTATCCAGGCTTTGGGATGGAGATCTTTGGGACTCAGACTCCTCTCCTAGTATTCCAGGGAAAGGGTGTGTGAGGAGCGGGAAGAGGAGGGAGAGAGATCTTCTCAGGGAAGTCTACAGAGCGCCTCTGCCTCTGAGGTGCTGAGAAAAAGAATTGTGAGGACACTTTGCCTGAATAGGAGTGTCTTCCTCAGGGCCTTCATTCATCCCCATCCCATCCTTAGTCCCTAATAACATCAGGAAGAAGACGATGCATCCAGGTATGCATCGGGAGTTTCTGCTGGCCTGCTCACAGTCAGGTCAGGCCCCAATCTAACCAGGTGGCCTTCCACACTCAGTCACCCCACAGACCTCCAACCACAGATCCTCCAACCACATCCACACCCCTAAAAAAAAATGTGAACATTTCTGAAGCCAAAATAGTCAATCCCTCCACCAAAAATTCACTGAAACACAAACGTAAGATGGAAAGGGGATTTCTTCCATTAATACATTATCCTCGTGACCTTATAATCTGCTTAAATTTAAAAATATCCCTGTCTGGCTCAAATGATTCTTTACCCACTTATTTCTTGCACTAGTGAGCAGAGAGTTGCCAAATGACAAGCTGTTCCTGCCTTAATCAGTAATGGAAAGATATTTTGTTTTTGAATGAGGTAACAATTTGGGGGAAGAAAGAGTGCAAGTAGACAGTGCAGTCATGCTAGCATAGTGCCTGTGTGCCTCTAAGCTGGGTATCTGGGAGGGGCAGCAAAATGTAGCTGTACCCACTGGGTGTGAGTGAGGGACTTGTAGTCTGGAAGAGCCACCCAGAAATGTCCAGGGTCCCTCTCTCTGGTCTCTGAACTATCCCTTGCCACTCCACCTCCATTATCCCAGCCCCAGCTCAACCCTCCCCCTCCCCCCCCATAAAAGGAGGCTACCGTGAGAAACCGGGTCCGTATTTGCATCTCATTTACATAAATATTTATTAATCGTCATTAAACTGAACAGAAACACGCAATGCACTTCGGGTGTCCGACGGGAGTCTCATCTTCACTACAAGAAGAAGGTAAAATTGCGTGTGTGGGGGTGAGTGTGTGGGTGTATCGCCTGTGGGTTTGCATTTTTGCATTGTGTGTTTTGGGTGCTTGAATCCCTGCCCCTCCTGGGGAGAGGTTCACCTTTTGTCCCTTTTGCGGAATACCTCCAGAAGGAGCCCCTACCCTCCTCCCCACCCCCACCCGCAGGCAAAAGCCTGGAGAACGTCTAGGGCAAAAAGTAAAACCTTCTCCAGTCGCCTGAAATCACCAGGCGCCTGGAGCCCACCGAGGCACGATCCAGACAGGGGTGTGGCTTCCCCCAGGTCTTGGTCCCCACCGCTTCAACCCGAGGGGGGTGATGGAAGTGCGAGGGAGGGGGGAGGAGGAGCCATCAAGCTTACCTCCTTCTGTCCCTGGACGCCCCACGCTTCGGAACCTGCGTGTGCGTGCGGTGTAGTGGTGTGGTGTGGTGTGTGCGTGCGTGCGTGTGTGTGTGTGTGTGTGTGTGTGTGTGTGTGTTTCATGCAAACCCTCCCTCCCCAAACCGACCCCCCAACAGTTTGCCATTCCATACAAATTTGGAAACAGGTTTTTAAAAAACAGTATGACGCACAACGGGGACGGGGCGGGGGGAGGGCAGTGGCATTGGGGCCCCAAATCTCCGAGTCACTGATTGTAAGAACCTGGGGAGGGGGAGGGGGCGGCGCAGGCCCCCAGTTCACCAAAGTGCACAGATCCGCGCTTGGGCGGGGCGGCCTGCGGACCGGGAGGGGCATCCCGGGCCGGGCCGGGCCTCTAGGCTCAGTCAGAACCTCCTTGCATAGATATTTGTGTCTTTATTATTGGTAGTAGTAATTTTTTTTGCCTTTTATTGCTTCTAAAAGTTCTTACTGCGTTTTCTCTCCAATCCGGACTCTGAGTTCGGCCTCCGTCGCCTCTTAGCCTTTTAATTTTTTTTAAAATTTTTTGTATGTTTGTTTGTTTAAAAACAAAAAGGAAAAAGGGAAAAATGGGTTTTAGTTACAAATTGGCTTGACCTCTCTCTCTCTCTTTCCTCTCAAACCACATCCCCTCCCGCCAAAATTAAAAATCGCAAAATGCGGAGACTCGGGTTTGGGGTGAAGGCAGTCTAGGCCAGGGCTTGAGCTCTTAGACTTCTGCCCTCTTCAAGAAAGAGGGGGTACCCCGATCCTTTCGACCACGGCAGCACGGTGATGGTTTTTAAAATAACCATGAGAGAGGAAACCCCGCGTCCTCAGCTCCACTGCCCTCTCACCCACGCCCTTGGTCCTGCTTGGAGGAGAAGGAGGGGAAAACCTAAGAAAGATGTTAGGAATGGGGAAGGGGGGTGTCTCCAGGGAGCGCCCAGAAAGAAGAGGTCCCTAGAGAAAAACTTCCTGGGAGAGAAGAGGAGGGAGCCCCTGGGGGAAGAGAGAAGGCGAGTCCCCTGGGGGGAAAACGAGGCCCCTGGGACGGGCCACCCACAGGTAAGAGATCGCGCTGCCCCGGAGAGTGGCAGGATGGGCCGCCCGCTCCCCCCACCCCACCCCACCCCGTGGCCGGCGCCAGAATGGGTGGGGGTTCTCTTGCACTCAGTGGGGGCTTGGGGCGCGGAGAGGGGGGGCGGGCAAAGGCAAAAGAAAAACAGAAAGGGGTCGGCGGCGCGAGGTCTCAGTTATGGAAAAACGCATTGAGCTCCTCGTACATGGGGCCCCGGTCGTGGTGAAGGTGCATATCGTAAGACAAGAGATTCTCCGAATGGACGCCCCCTCGCACAGCCGACGAGCCGAAGACCAGCCCGTGGCCGGTGGGCCGCGACCCGGGCAGCGCCGAGTAGTGCATAGAGTAATGGTAGCTCTTCTCGTGGTCGGGCGATGAGTCCTGCTTGAGGGAGAAGTTGCCATTGAGACAGAGCGGGGGGCTGAGCGGGCCCTCGTACTCGGAGCTGTTGTAGTCCGGGCTCGCGCCGCCGCCGCCCGCCGCCGCGTACAGCGTCTCGTAGGCGGCGCAGTAACCGTGGGTCCGCAGGGCGTGCGCCGCGCCGCCGCCCAAGCCGCCGGCTGCCTGGCACTGTGCGCCGGCCAGGCGCGAGCACGGGTACGGGTAGGGGTGCATGGCGAACGGGCCGCCGGAGCCGTGGAAGCGGCCCGCGCCGTCGGCGCCCTGCTCGGTGAGGAAGTTGCGCGAGTTGAGCTGCAGGCAGCCGGCCACCAGATTGGTCGTGGGCTGGGACAGACCCTTGCACAGAGTCTGCACGTAGGACACCAGATCGGGCCGCTTTCCGGAGCGCAGGATCTCCGAGAGCGCCCAGATGTAGTTCTTGGCTAGGCGCAGCGTCTCGATCTTGGACAGCTTCTGCGTCTTGGAGTAGCAGGGCACCACCTTGCGCAGGTTGTCCAGCGCGGCGTTCAGGTCGTGCATGCGGTTGCGCTCGCGCGCGTTCGCCTTCTGCCGCCGCAGCTTGGAGCGCTCCAGGCGCGCCTTGGTCATCTTGCGTTTCTTGGGCCCGCGTTTCTTGGGCCGCTCGCCTTCCGCCTCGTCCAGCCCTTCTTCCTCCTCCTCTTCCTCCTCCTCTTCGCCCCCCAATTCGCCTTCCTCCTTGACCTCGGCCAACGTGGCCTCCGGTACCTCTTCTCCACGGAGGGTAACTGGCTTGGCGGCCCGAGCGGGCCCCGGAGCCCCCGGCCCGGGCGCCGGCGGTGGCTGAGGCTGCGGCGCGTCGCCCTTGTCGCTCCTCGGCTCGTCGTCGTCGCCGTCGCCCCAGCTGGCGAACTTGGGCACATCGGAGAGGAGGCCGGGCTCGCTGAACAGGCGGGTCAGCATGGTGCCTGAGGGTGCCCCGGGGGCGGGAAGGGGAGACAAGACAGCACAGAGTGAGGGGCATGCGAGGGTCACCAAGGGCCTCCCCCAACCCGCCTCCACCCCAAGACTCCTGCGGGTTCCTACCAGGGGGGCCCTGGACGCCCACCTCCTCCGTCTGCCCCGCCCAGAGCCGGCCCAGCCCTGCGCGGGCTGCCGGCCCGGGATCTCGGCCCAGGCCCTCTCCCCAACGCTGGGCCCCGGCTCCGCCCCTCGTATGAATGGGGGGCCGCTCCCGACGCCCTGTTCTTCTCGGGGGGTCAGTGCGGGGGGTCGGGTGGGCGGCTAAGGGACAAGGTATCCTCGCTGTCAGGGGAGGCGACGCGCTCTCACGGAAAGCCTCATCTCTCCGGGAGAAGGAAGAGAGGCTGGGCGCGCGCGGGTGGGGACTGCTGCCCCGCTCCGCTCCCCGGCTCGGCTCGGCGGCCCGGGCCCCTCCGTCCCGCTCCCCCACCCCTCCCCCGGCTCCCAACCCCTCGCTCCCTAATCCAATTTGCAAGTTGGCCGCGCGCCGCTCCCCCCACCCCCCCGACTCGGCCCTCACCCCCGCAGCCCCAATTCCAGAGGCGGGAGAACGGGGCTCCTCGGGCCCTGGCGTCCCCGGCTCCCGGAGCCGGCTCTGGGCGGTGAGGGCTGAAGAAGCCGGGGCGTGGGGAGGAGACGGAGCAGCGAGCCCCGTCCGTCTCCCCTGCGGACAGGGACCCCCTTCCCCCCTTCAAACTGCCTCCCTCCCACACGGCTCTTCAGATCTCGTTGTATTTCGGGATTGATGGGAGAAAATCCAAATTTGTTTGTTTGCTTCTCTCGCTCTTTTTTTCCTCTCTTTTTCTTTTGCTTTTATTTTTTCCTCTCTTTTTTTGGGGATAGGGAAAGGTCGTGGGTTTCTTCGGGACAGCCATGGGAGGGACCCTATCTCGGGCTCTTTACAACCCCCCCCCCCCACCTAGATCCTGCCTCCCACCCACCCAAGTCCATCGCGGGCAGAATGCCTCCCTCTGCAGCCCCAGGAGCTGCAGCCCCCCAGGGGTGAGAGGACCCGGGGCCCCTCCGATGCCCACCCAGTGAGGGGGTGCCATCCCGGGAAGGGAGGACTGGGGAGGGGGAGACGCTCGCGTCGGCCAAAACAGCCGCTCCCCCCTCCCGAACGGCGGGTCAGATCTAGCTCCCTTTCGGACAACTTACCTCAGAGAGGAGTCAAGGGGAGAGGGGAGGGGAGGGGGGAGGGGGCAAGAGAGAGAGGGGGGGAGAAGAGGAATCTTCTCGCTTATTTCATTGTTCCCCCATCTTCTGGGAGCGGGGGCAGCGGCTCCTCAAGGCGGCGGGCGCCGGCGTCTTCAGAGCGCCATGCGAGCCGCGGAGCGAGTGTGGCATCTCTACCAGGCGGGGTACCAGCCTCTATGCCAGGCCATATGGGCTTGGCACGTCACGGGCAGCAGCTATCACATGAGAGACGGTGATTGGCATGCGTCTGCATTGGGGGAGAGCCGGCTCCCCCGGGACCCGCCGCCATCTGTCACTCTCTACTCCAAAAAAAAAAAAAATTAAATAAATAAAGGAAATAAATAAATATCTCTGCCGCCCTCCCCTCCCCGCCCAACGCAGGGGAAGCAGGGATTGAGAGGGAGGTGGGAGGAGTTGCCCCCCCCTCAGATATAGAGCCCCCCACATGGGAACAATGGGGGTAACAAGGCTGGAAATTGGGGGTGAGTGGTGGCCACCAAGTCCATAGCTCCTTCCACGGTCCTTACTCTGTCCAGTTCCTCTCTTGAAGGCCCCCAAGGTGGGTCAGGACCCAGACTCTGCGGTGTGAAGAAGGGACCTCAGTCCTTGCCCCCACCTCCCCAGGAGGGTCCCCTCCACCACAAAGGGACAGCTGAGGCCCCCTTCCAGGGTGGGCGTGGGGGGGTGTCCCTGGCCCAAGTCCCATAGGTAGATGTTGGCACCATGCCATCCCTCATCCCTGTCTGCCCCTCCCCCACCCACCCTCACGCACACACAACATATGTGGCTGAACGAAATTCAAACCAAGGGAAAGACAGAGAAAGGGAAAGATTTGCTGGATGTCTGTGCCTCTGCATGGGCGTGTGGGGTGGGGTGTGTGTGTGTGTGTGTGTGTGTATCTGTGGGGACATGTGTGTCTGAGAAGTCGGCAGATAAGAGATGTTTCCTTGAGTGTCAGAAGCATATGTATGTTGGGGTTGGAGTGGGGAGGAGATAAGCCTATGCCCGCCCCCCCCCATCTCGAGCTGGAGCCCCCCCCCCCCATCTCGAGCTGGAGGAATGGGATCTATACTGAATTTCCAACCTAGGAGAGAGCTTTGAAGCCCTCCTCCTCACTTTCCCCTCCACCTGCCAGATAGGTGACTATGCCACCCGTGCTCTATCTCCTGGCCTCTGACTTGGTTGGTTGTTGGAGGGAGGAGGAGGGGACTGGCTGAGAACTGCCTAGACTTCCTGGATGAAACTCAAGCATTCTCCTCCTCCTGCAAAAAAAAAAAAAAAGTAAACTCACTGAAGCTGAGCCCAGAAGTCCAGAGTGACCAGGGGGGAGGTAGGGGAGACAGGTGTCCTGAAGAAGAAAGGTAGAAAATGGCTACTTTATCTTGCAATTCACCTTTCAACCCTCTTGCTGGGCCAGACACAGATGTAAATGGCAATTTGAGGGAGGTAGTGATACACACACACACATACACACACACACACACACACCTGTTCCTCATCCTGGGAAAGTGGGGGCAAGGACTTAAGTCCCTCCTCATACCCCAGAAAAAAAAGTTATACACCCTTACTCAGATGACATGTGTCATGGGTCAGAGCCAGGCTGTGATTGCCAGCAAGACTGTAGAAAGAACCCTGACCCACACTACATTTCAGACAATCGTGTATTTCGGAACTGAATGTCCTGCTCCTTCTTGCCTCTTCTTACTTGTGCACACCCAACTTTCAGAGTATACATTCAGACATCAGTCATGTGCTAAGCACTGGATGGTGCAAAGAAGAGCAAGAGCCTGGCTTCCCTCTTAATTTGGTGGATGCTTTCAATTCTCTCCCAGGAGAAGCCTTCAGAGGGACCTGGGGGCAGGGGAGACATGGACTCAATGTTGCAGACTGAACAAGGTTCCACATGAAGCTAGATGCACACTTCAATCTAGAGGCCTGGGGAAAGGGGGTGCTGGTGCTGACTGGGACTTTTGGAGGCCAAGAGCTGAAGAGGGCTCAGAATGAATGGCAGGGAACAGATTTGCCTAAGAAAACACAGGTGAAGGGTGAACCGAGTCTAAAACCAGTCCATGGCTCCTTCAACAATTCCACAATTACCTTGGTGGTCTCCAAGGATGTAAAGCACTTCCTGGGTTCCTGTACCTGGAAAGGTGAATCTTACCTGTAGTGGTTAAGTCTTAGAAGTTCATGGCATGGAAAGTTAAAGGATGGTTCTTAGACCTGGCAGAGACTCAGGAGGGCTGGCCAGATGTCTAGCCCAGTGACCTTAGTGTCCCTTAGCAGAGTCCTCAATGCTGATGAGTAGCCCCTTTTTTAAAATTCCCTGGCCACATGGTATTTTTGGTTATGTGTACATGCTCTACGCTTGTGGTTCCAAGCCAACTCAGCTCACCATCAACTTAAAACAAAACAAAACAAAACAAAACAATGCTGCATAGCAGACTAGGGATGAGGTTGAGGGGTAAAGAGCTTGCCTAGCCAGCACAAGGCCCTGGCTTTGATCCTCAGCACTACCAAAAAAAAAAAAAAAATGCTGAATGCATTGATTGAGCAAGTTCCATAACCTTCTTCAGCCTTGATTTCCCTGTATGTAAAATGGGGATAATTGTACTGCTGTTAGCACTAAGGAGAGTAATATACGTAATGAGCTGAGCACAGGGTCAACAGTATAATGAGTCTTCAGTAAATGCTAGCTCTTATTTTTATTAAGACACTGTGTAAATGGCAAGCAGGCTTTATAATAGTAATTTATTGTACATAACTCCTCCCACCGCAATATTCAGTAGGCTTTGTCTACATAGGAACTAAAATTTTGCTAAATGAATGGCTGAATTTATGGATGAAGAAGTGAACGAATGTTTTCTTGGGGGGACAAAGATATAATCTGACTTCCCTTTACCTCTGAATGCTTGGTTAAAACCTCCAGGGGTTAACTCCCAGACCTCTCCAAACTGGAGACAGAACCCTGCTCAGGATAAGAAAGTCCTTGTGAGGTCTTCCCACCCTTTCTGCCCTCTGACAGGATAAACTCTGCTGTCCTCCCAAACCTCCCACAGAAGGAGGCTGAGTTGGAGAGCCGCACCTGGGGTAAGTACAAAATGTCATCCCTCTGGGCCTGTTTCTTGCTCCTGTCTTTTCTTCCTTCAGGAAAAAAAAAAAAAAAATGGAACAAGTTTTTCTCACTCGACACATTTCAACTTTTTTTTTAGAAGATACAATAAAAACCAGGGGGAAACTGGAACAGAGGGAGGTGTGAGCTGGGCCTGCCTCAGACATGAGCTTGAAAGAGGTACAACACGTGTGTCCATGTACACAGAAGCAAGCGTGAACACACAGGGACATGCACATTGCTCTCTGTGCTCCTGGAGATGCAGAGATGCCGTGACAGAGACAGAAAGAGCCAGAAATGGAAGGAAGGAGAGGAAAGAAGGACACCCAGAGATCCCATCTGTTCCTCCCCATGGCATTGGAGGAAGGGAGTTGGTAAGGGGCCTGGTCCCCTCTAGGTCTCGGAGAGGAAAAAGAAGGTGGGGGAGGGGGAATGGAGCACCTCAGCCAGGTCTAGAAAAACCCTATTCCTGCTGCCTACTCCTTAGAGAGGGAGCAGAGAGTCGGGGGTCTGAGGTTCCCATGGAGACATAGCCCCTTCCCAAGGGAGGCCACAGTCTGGGCACCTAAAATGGCTGCTTCAGAGGGGCGACGGCCATTTTGTACAGTCTGGACCCTGAGGGGCAGGGTTGATG